GAGTTAGCTTTGTATATTTGAGGTCACTACCGAGAAAACATGTGTGTGGTTTGGAGATGAATTTACCATTACGATGGTATGCTGAGTGATGGTTTGTACGTTGAATTCACCAATACAATGGTCCGTGATGTAATTTATAGGAGTAGCAACACTAAAGGATTTTCCATAGAATGCGAAAAGTCACATATAATAGTAGGATGTGCAGTTTTCAATTCTTTTTCATGTATGGCTACCCTATTGTGTACCAATTTAAACTGATTCACACCGATTTTAATTTGTACTCATGCTTTTTAATTGATTGTCTTTTATGCATCGATCACAGAGATGAATTACTTAAAGTGTAGTCTTATAACTTTTGAACTCCACCAGCATATACAAATGGTTTCCATTTATTGTGCAGACATAATTACACATCCTTCTAGCGTTTGGTGCAGTTACACGTCTTGTTATTTATTTAGATTTTTTAAGCGGAAAACTTTTATTTACACATACTTGTACTCCAAAGTGCTATAGTGTTCCCGTTCAAATTAGCCCCTATTGAGGAAAATTCATGGATATGCCACTGACCTTATTAGTGTTTTTTCTAAAATAATATTTGAATTCATAGTATTTGATTAATTAATTAATTATAAAAGTACTACGTAATTAATTAATTAATTAATTACTACATAATTAATAATTTCATGAACTAATATGCCCGTAGATTAATATTATAAAACTCTAACCTCCTACTCATTTTCCAAAAAATCTAACCATTAGCCCGTTGCCGCGCCATCTACCTCCCCCTTCGCCATGGCTCTTGCCTCCCTGCGACTGTCGTCTCCATGCTGTGGCGCCACGATTGTCCCCATGCCTACGCGCCTAACCACTGCCGCCACGGTCTCCATGCCTGCTTGCCGCCACCGTCCCCATGCGGGGACACCGCGGCCATCTTCATGCCTACACACCTACCCGCAACCATCTCCATATTTGCTTGCCACGGCCATCACCATGCCACGTTGTTGCCTCCGCCCCTATCTTTACATTGTACTCCGTATTTACTTATTGGATCTGTAGTTTTCTTATAATTGTTGGCAGTAATTTTTCTGCATGTTTTCGTTAATTTCTATCTCCCGTAGGAGATTGAGAACATATCTTTGTTACGGGATAAAAAAATCCTATATTCCATTTCCTACTTTTATAGCAGTTCGATGACTTTAATATGGGTTTAATATGTTCTATTATACGGAGTATTCAAGAGTTTCAGCATGTGATTGTTTTTTCTTGTCTTGTATAATAACACTAATACTCCTGCAACAAAATTCAAGATACTCACAAGCAAGATCAAGTTGAAGTGAACTAACTCTCCTATAAATGTACACAGTGACACAACATGCATCCCATATTCACGACATGTTCATTTTTAAAAGTAAACACTTAATACCATGGAAAATACGGAGTATGTTAGTTTTACATTCAATTTTCATCATTCAACTCATTTTGAAGCAAGTTTATATTGAGCCTTTGAAATTTAAATCTTAATAATATCACTACAATTATTATTAACCCAATTTATACACAAACCATAAATTAAAACAAATACCCAAACAATTTTTCTGGATTTATAATTATAATAATGATGACAAACACAAACTTCAAACCACTGCACGCACATACAATAACGTGTTAACTACGTAAATTCTACAAAAACTTGAGAAGATATATATATAGAGAGACTAAATTTAACTAAAAATTCTAACAAAGTTATCTTGATCTAGAAATTAGTACGTAATCCAAAACTCAAAGCAGTGAAACATATATTTGGGGCCATATTAATTAAGGGACTATGCAAACAAAATACAGATCTAATGATTGAAAGTGTCAAACCTTCATCGTCTTCACGGCCTCCATGCCCATTGCTTCTTTTCAGCCGCAACTGTGGAGGCATGGAGCGCACGCATCTTCATGCCGGCCGCTGCCCTATCTCACTCTCTCCTTCTCTTCATCATGATAACACCAACACAAGCCAATCCTTTAAAAAAATCAGCTCGCTTCTTCCACCCCCTCTCAATTATTGAACAACAACCTTTAAATTAAATGAGGGCTCTTCTTCCTTAAAAATTTTATTCCAGTTATACACCACCTAAATGTTCAAAGGAGTAGTAATAATAATATACGGAGTATACTATTAAAACATAATATTTGTGTACATATTTTGTATTATATCCGGCATGCATAGCTGAGTACATATATTATTATTATTATTTATTGTTGTAATTATCACTTAGCAGTAGTTATCACTTAGTTGCTAGATCCTATTTTCACTCAACTGTAATTCTATATATTTGAGCCCTTGCTCACATGGTGAATATATGAACAATTTATCCTCTTTATGGTATCAAGAGCCTAACTCTTAGGAGATCACATATACAATTTTTTTTTCCGGTCCTACTCATGGCAGCCATCACCGAAAATACTCAGGTGATACCAATCACTGCAGCAAATTACTTTCCCATCAAACTCACTCAAACTAATTTTCCGGTTTGAAAGTGTCAAGTGCAATCTGCACTCATCGGCCTTGGACTAGAAGGCTATCTCACTGGTACTATTGTGCCGCCTGCGCCGTTTCTTGATGATGCTAAAACACGTATGAACCCGTGTTACAGCATTTGGTATCGGCAAGACAAAACTCTAATCAGCGCACTGCTCGGAAGTTGCTCGGATCAAATTCAGCCCGTCATCTCTTCCGCTCAAACGGCCAAGCAAGCCTGGGAAAAACTCCAGCTCACTTATGCAAGCACCTCTCGAGGGAGAATTGTCTCCCTCAAATCTGCTCTCGGACGCACCAAGAAGGGTTCTCGCACAATCAAGGAATATTTGGCCGAGATGGAGTCCATTGCTCAAGATTTAGCACTCGCTCTAAGCCCTGTCCCGGAGGAAGTTTTAGTCATAAGCATTCTGAATGGACTCGGATCTGACTACAGTGAAATCCATGCAGCCATCAGGGGTCGGCCGACACCCCTTCCACTTGCTGAACTCCAGGACATTCTCCTGGACCATGAAACCAGACTCTCCCAGCAAGACCCAGTTGATACTATTATTCCCACAGTGAATGCTATGAAATTATCACCGAGGCAAGGCTCTCAAGAACGATCATCGCCGGCTTATGGTGACCGCCGACAATCTGGATCCCGTCGTGGACGCGGTGGGTATCAGCATCAGCCCCCCCCGTCCATCATCTAATGTTATTTGCAAATTTTGCGATAACACAGGTCATGATGTTAAGCAATGTCGCAAATTACAACGGTTTTTGCGTGACAATCACATTCAGGTTTCTGCTAACCCACATGTCAATCATACGGCTGCTGCTACATCTTCGGATTATCAACCTTGGCTCCTTGATAGTGGGGCATCCCACCATGTTACCAATGATGCATCTCAATTGCCGCAACTTTCTGACTATGGAGGCCCGGAGGAGGTGCATCTAGGTAATGGTACGTCACTTGCAATTACGCACACTGGATCCACTACTATCCCTACCCCTACTCGCCCTCTCCATTTATCACAAATTTTATGTGTTCCAAATTTACGTAAAAACCTTATATCTGTCTCCAAGTTATGTCAAACTAATAACGTTTCTGTGGAATTTTTTGCTTCTCATTTTGTTGTTAAGGATCGCAACACGGGGGCGCCTCTTCTGCGCGGGGAGAACTTTAATGACGTGTACTATGCACCTTCCCACCTTCCACCGCAAATTCATGTGTCTCAAGTTTCCAGTCCATCCATTTGGCATCATACATTTGGTCATCCGTCCTCTAGAGTTTTTCATTCATTAGCTGCTCAGAATAAAAATTTAATTTCTTGTAGTTCATTGTCCTCTTTCGTGTGTAATTCATGTCTTATTAATAAAAGCACGAAATTACCTTTTTTTACGAATTCCATGAATGCGTCCAAACCCCTACAACTGATATATTCTGATGTTTGGAGCACAAGTAATACCTCTGTTGATGGATTTCGCTATTATGTAATCTTTGTAGATTTTTATTCACGTTACATATGGCTTTATCCATTAAAACGTAAATCTGATGTGTCAATCATTTTTCCTCAATTTCATAGATTGGTGGAAAAATATTATCAATCACCGATTGTTTCCTTATTTACGGACAATTGTGGAGAATATATTAAGTTGCGCCAATACCTAACTTTGCATGGAATTTCCCACTTTACATCCCCACCGCATACACCCGAACACAATGGTATTTCTGAGCGGCGTCACCGGCATATTGTAGATACGGGTCTTGCTCTTTTACATTTTGCCGGGCTACCTATCACTTACTGGTCTTATGCTTTTCAAACTGCGGTGTACCTTATAAACCGTCTTGCTACACCCAACTTACAACATCGTACCCCCTATTTTCTTCTCCATCAGTCTACACCCAATTACAATAAATTACGTCCATTTGGGTGTTTGTGTTATCCTTGGTTACGCCCGTACACTTCCTCCAAATTAAATCCCAGATCTGTTGCTTGTGTGTTTCTAGGATATTCTACTTCCCAGTCAGCCTATTTATGTCTTGATGTTAAGACGGGTCGAATTTATACGTCTCGTCACGTAAAATTTGTGTATCATCTTTTAGCCTTCCGATCTGAACTCATGCATGTACACGCCACTAAGGACCCTCCCTGCACTAGTCAACGTCCCATCCTTAAATCTCGGTCATCTCAACAAAATTTGGAGTAAAATACTCCTCGGCCAACTCCACCAAACTACCAACCCACCCTAATTAATACCTTACCTAATCCTACGCAACCCACAATACCTACTTCATCATTATCCCCTCTGCCAACCTTATCAAATCAACCCAACATGCCAGCTATTCCATCATCTCCTATACTGACCTTATCCTCTCCCCACACCCCTCTCCCCAACCAAACCCCTCCCTCAGCACATAATTCCACGCCCACAAATCCTAATCCTACTACTCTTCCGCAATCCACCCAACACGACCCCACACCATCCTCTTTACCTTCGCATACAACCAATATTATTTCCTCTCCCGTAGATGCTCCAGACCATGAATCCTCCACTCCAGAATCATCACCCAATATACCTGTTCGTCCCATTAGGAACAGAAAACCCAACCCCAAATTTCTTGGGGATCCCTTCATTAACTCTACCACCACTCATCCTCTACCTTACACCCCTGAACCCACCAGTGTGCGTGCTGCAACATGTGACCCCAAATGGCGAGCCACAATGCAGGAAGAATTTGATGCTCTTAAACGCAACAATACTTGGGAACTTGTTCCCCGCAATGCTCAGCACCCAATATCGTGCAAGTGGTTGTTTCGTATTAAACGAAACCCTGATGGCTCCATTGCCCGATACAAAGCCCGTTTGGTGGCTCGTGGGTTCCTTCAGCAGCCCGGGAAGGACTATTTTGAGACATTCAGTCCCGTTACAAAACCCGCTACGGTTTGTATTATTCTGTCTCTTGCGCTGGCAAATAACTGGCCGCTCCGGCAACTTGATGTTAACAATGCGTTCCTCCATGGAACGTTATCGGAGGAAGTCTATATGACTCAACCCCCGGGGTTTGTGGATCCGGCTTTTCCTAAACACATTTGCAGACTTCGCAAAGCTCTTTATGGGCTGAAGCAAGCTCCTCGCGCATGGTACATGGAGCTGTCCAACTTTCTGGTTACTTCCAGATTTCGAAAATCTCGAGCCGATGCCTCCCTATTTATCTATACTCATCAACATACTCGTTTGTATTTCCTTGTATATGTTGATGACATTGTATTGACAGGGAATGATTCCAAAGCTCTAAATCACTTTGTCACTCAGCTCATGCGCAGATTTTCTGTCAAGGATCTTGGTATGCTTCATCATTTCTTGGGTATTGAAGTCATACCAAATGCTACTGGTTTGTTTCTCACGCAGAGGCAGTATATTTTGCATATACTTGAATCATGTCGCATGGAAGGTGCCAAGGAATCCTGCACACCACTCGGATCCACATCACTAATTCCACTGGAACATGACACTCATACGGATGCCACTCAGTATCGTCGCACCCTAGGCCTACTTCAATATCTGTCTTTCACTCGGCCGGATATTTCATTTGCGGAAAGGCAAATTGCTAAGTTTATAGTAATCTACACAACTACGACATATATATAATGAGCTAATGAAGGATTTGGATATAAATTACTTGGTAATAATGAGTCATATTTATCTATTCATTTTCCAATGTTCTTTTTAGTAGATTTACAATTTTAATGTAGTACCTTTTACCCTTCTCAAGAATTCCGGATGATTCCAGTTTAGTTGGCCGGTGCTTTTCATTAAAGCAGTGTAGTTAATACCCTACTTTTTTCTTCCGTGCTTCAGCGCTATCTTCCTCTGAAATACCAAAAGACACCTTGCATGTCCCAGGCTCCTAGCATTTATCCACCTTTTAGGCCAAACCTTTTCACACTTCCCGCCCAAAATTGTGCTGCCACTTTTCTGTTTTACTATATATAATGTATTAAACTATCATTTCTTTAATACGTTATATATATACACACAGAGAGAGAAAAAAGATAATATATCTTTCATTAATAAAATCCACTACTAACCAATTCAAATTAAGGTTATGTTGATTTTTTTTAAGTTTTTGAAATGAATAGATTAGTTTGTAAAAACAGTTTTATCATTGCCTTAGCTTACTAAGTCTTCATAGTTTATTTTTTATGAAATTGTTACCATTACTTGGACAAATAAACGGATTAGTTTGTAAAAAATATCTTATCATTACTTATTGAGATTTCGTTGTTTATTTTTCTAGAAATTGTTACTTAAGAAGTTAATTTTTTTAGATGTTTTATGTTAATTAGTTAATTAATATTAAAATTATTCGAATTAACTTTCTTGGTGGATATTTCTTCTTTTCGTCTACATTATACTTTTTTATCTATATCTTTGACATTTATATTATTATGTGTACTGCTTTTGTTATATACGTAGTACCTTTTTTGTGTTTTATATTTGTACACAGTATTCCAGCGTGCATCACACATGTGAATTATTTGTTATTATATTATATGGAGTACTACATGTCAAACAACACAATGCTAATATTTTAAGAAATAAATTTTACTCCGTGCAACAGATGGATCTGATAGACTTTTCACATTTTCATTGTCCCTAAGTAGTTAAAGCTCAAATGATGAGACAAAAAATGTTATTTATAAGAAAGTGCTTTAAAATATTTAAATTTTTCCATGTTATCTTATGTTGAATAATATGAATTTGTTTGTTGTTCCTAAAGTGGTCATTATAAAAGTTTTGATGTATCCTTTTGGATTTGAACATTTTTGCTTCATTTAATACAAGGTTCTTTATTTGGCGTGCATCGCACGGGTGAGATACTAGTTTGGTAAAATGTTCGTTGTCAATACAATTTAAGTAATTTCTCTATTACATGCTCTTGGATTTTTTGTAGAAAAATAGAACCATTATTGATATATTTTATTAATCAATATCAGAGCCGCTTTTAGGGGGTTCAATGGGTTACCTAGAACAAGACCCCCAATTCATGGGCCCCCAAATTTTTACAAATTTATTAGTATTACATAATAATATTATATAGATCAATTACAGTTTTCCTATATTAATACTAATCAGTAAAATGCAATTATTAAGGAAGAAAAATATAGATCAATCGTTTAGTTTAGTCACTTCTGCAATATTTATGGGTTAAACTAATTAGTTGTTAAAATTTGTACATTAATACAGTTTGACCTTTGTATACAATCTACCTTAGTTAACCCAGTAGAACGTATGGGTGTATCAACTCATTAGCATAAGCAAAGCAGCTGTTTTTTATTTCCTGATTTCCTATGATAACAAAAAACTCAATCTAGCAGAAATCTTTTGCATATTGGCTATCTAGCCGGTGCCTATACTCAAGAGGCAAATAAATACAAATCTGGATAAGGCCAACGTAGTCTGTGAATGTAATATTGTACGAACAGTAAAATAGATTCAGACAAATCTGTATGAACAAGAACATATGCACATGAAAAATACCAGAGAGGCTTGTTGATTGGTATTCCAGAGGAGCTCTGCTTGGTCCCCAAATTCAAAGAGGGTGCACAAATCCAAATCAAGACTACATAAACATTGGATTAGAGAAAGTCTATGTAAGCATAGAAGCAAACCAATATAACTTTAAAAACTTTTGAGGAAAATCAATAAGTATATGAATATAAATCAGGGAAAAATAATTAGAATACCCCAAACTCTGAAGGGGTGTGAGATAAGCACCCCAAACTTGCATATGTAATTTAAATACCCCAAACTTTATGTAAAATGTTATTTTAACACCATGGCCATGTATCATTTCTTTAAAAGAATGTAAATTTATGATGTTAATTGCATAATTCAAAATATCAAATTGAAAACTTTGCAATTATATAGAGTGTACGGTAATACTATTTATTTTATAATGGAAGTTTAGATTGTTAATTGTATCTTTATGAATGCTAAAATATTTTAAGTTATGAAATTAACACCAAAAATTGACATTTAAGAAAACAATAATACATGACTAGGGTGATAAAATAAGTATTTATATAAAGTTTGGGATATTTAAATTACATATGCAAGTTTGGGGTGTTACCTCACACCTCTTCAAAGTTTGGGGTATTTTAATTATTTCCCCCTATAAATTATGATGTGTACATACCCTCATGAGCGAGAGAGATGCAGTTTTCCATCGGCTTGCTCTCAGGAAGAAACCCTATCGTGTGCTGGTGTTATTCTACAAAGAGAGGCGCGCTCAGTTTATGTTTCCCGCAAATTTATTTCGCTTTTAGTTTGGTGAGCGGGAGTTCGTGGTTTGTACGTTTTGGCCGGCTTTGTATTGCGCGTAGTTTTTTTTTGTATTTCGCTTTGTATTTCGCTTTTAGTTTTTTTTTTTAAATTTGGAATATATCTAGAGCACATTTTGTAATGCCGAATCGGATGATTATGCTAAAATTTATGTAATTCTGGTTAAAGTAACATTATTGGCTGATTCTGCTGATTTTATGAAAAAATTATATTGAAAATATATTTTAGTAATAAAATAAAGAAAAATATATATGAAAAATAGCTAAAATGTTCATCTACAGTAAATTCAGCCATTACAGTCAAACAAGTAACCTCATCCTTACGTTTTCTTATTATTACACAATTCAGCGCGTGAAATTAAAAATTACGTGTTTGGTTATAAAGTTTGCTGATAAGCCGAAAAACAGAGTCAATAAATGGGCACCTATTGTTAAAACTTGTTGTAATTTTATTGGAAGAACGTGTTGTTATTAAAAGTTAACTTGTCTCATTAAAAATAAGAATAAAAGTACTAGTACACGGTTATTGTTGTTTTTATAGACCATGCTTTCATTGGTATGGTATAAACCACATTATTGTTTTACCACAGTTGATTTCTTATTGTAAGTAATGTTTATAACCACACATTTCTTGATGTCGTAAATACACCCGTGGTTGATGCTCACTTTTCTTGTAGTGTCAAATTGCTTGAATAATGAGTTCGGTTGCATTACATCAAGTATTAAGTAAGTTTTAATTTTTTTTATTACATTATTTAATGAATATTCAGTTGATTTAGGTATAAGTATTTGGATTGAGTTTTTTTTATTTTTATATTAATGTGGGCCTCAACTTTACATTTGGAAACGGGGCCTACAAATTCATTAGATGACCCTGATCAATATTAATCACATACCACTTGATATTAGTCTTTTGTTTCTTTTGTAGTAATTAAAAACAAATTTGCGATAACAATTTGTACACATAATCTAAATTGATTCTCAATTATGTACGATAGAGTCAACATCATATCAAACACTTTAACCACAATCACTTTATCATGCAATAGAAAGTTCTATTTTCCATTCTCGTTCAAAAAAGAAAACAGTAGAATTAAAAGACTTTTCCCATAATATGATCAATCAAAATGACTCGTATAAGAAGTAAAAATGTGACTAACTATTACAGACTTAAAATTGAGATGAAAGTATTTCAAACAGATGTTTTTTACTTTAACTTATTCTAATCCTAGATCATATTTGATATAATCATAACGGATCATACTAGATTTAAACAGGCTAGACCAGACTTTGACAGTTATGGAATACACATGAATCAGACATTAACAGACTAATTCATACCAAACCGGATCAGACCTGAAAATTTCAGTTCAATTAAAAACACCCTTACAATCCTTAGGTTTACTCCACCAACATACTCGCACAGGTAGCTTAGTTGGCCGAGTGGTGGGAGATTTGGATCAATGGATCAAGGTTTGAATCCTCGCAGCGACCGGGTGGAGGTCAAAGAACCTGAAATAAGGTTGGACCTCTGGTGCGCACGAGTGTATGAGCCTACTGCCACTTTGCTGACCGAGTCACCGTGACTAACCTCCCCAGTCCCCACCATCCTGTCAGGTCGGGGTGGGGGCTCCTTGGGTGGAAGATTTCACCTTTTGGATCAAAGGTTTACTCCAGCAACAAAGCTAGGCTAAAGTGCCTATAGTTTTATGCTTCGTTTTCTCTAACGGTTAAGATTTGCAAGCAGGTTAAATCAATTTTTGGGTTGCTTAGGGGTTGATTTTCTTCTTCATGTGAAAGAGGTGATGACAACTTACATGATATGGAGTTGTCTTGTTTCAGTGTCAGGGTGGAGCGACTGGCCATGTATGATTTGTTTTATACATCTTATCAAATGCTTATGGTATTCATTCAATCACAAATCTTTTTTTTTGGATGAAATGTAAATATGTATAGAATTATCCAAGAGTTTTTGCACATCATATGAACAAAAATCAAAACCATAGGCATCCTAAGTTAGGATACCCTATCACCTCAAAAAATATACTAGATAGCTAGCACTCTAGCCAAACATCATGCAAGACATCACAAAAATAGGTGACGAGATAGCAAAAAAACCTCTAGAAAGTTATCATATGGTATAGATACATAGAGTAACAAGATGTTCATCTGACATTCTCTCCTATAACAGTACCAATTGCCTGCCCCCCCCGGTGAACCACGACCTCAGAGTGAAAGGGTTGAATTGCTTGAAGTTGGAAGCTTGTTTTATACTTTCATCAAACCGGCGCAACAAAACGACATCATTTCAGGATGGAGTTTGGCTAGTTTTAATTATTTACTATAATTTCAGATCATATTTTATATTTATTTCGTGAGACATTTAATCATGGTATTGGTGTGCGTGTTCGTGTCGTTCTTGTGATGTTTAGTTTTATTGCGATGAGAGATATTGAA